TGACGCAGTGCTGCCGAGCTTCTGTCTCCAAAGCGGGTGTGTTTTGTTTACATCCAGAGCATGTTGACACCTGTTTAGGGGTACTTCAACCCACGACAGTTCCACACAAATCGAAAGGCGGGGACACTTCCGCGTAAAAGAAACATTCATTGTTGGATGTGAATTATCAATTTGTATAGTTTAGTGGCATTTACGCAAAAATCCCATCTCTGTTATTTTTCGATAATTTGCAGCAAAAGTTTCATTATGATTTTTTTTTTATAAAACTATAAACTGCTGGAAGATAAAAATGCAGATTTTAGCAAAATATGTATGTTATATGTAAAGAATGATAAATACCTTGTAGGGATTTATATTTATTTTAAATAACCAATTTAATTTAATTTTACGTTCTTTCCTATAAGCCTTCATTCCCCTAATTGTCAATGCCAGAATATTTAAATTTGGTAGCGCGCGTGAAATAATGCAAATTCTACGTTGAGAAGAAAAAGTTTAAATACTGAGTTCTAAAAAGGAAGTGGGGAGAGTTTTGGGCATTCGGGCTGCCACTTCTTAGCGTGAGCTTCTATTTCTGCAGTTATTGTTAGTTTACGTGGCATAACAGCGATCACTTTGGTGCCGCTAGATTTCCACGCGGTTTTAAATAACAGGAATTTCTGACTCCTGTAGCTTAATTTCTACTACTTGTTAATATCTTCAAATGTTTAGTTTAGTTCCTGTCATTTCAGTTACCGCGTGAGGCGTAGTGTGTTAGCGTTAAGTCGACGCATTGTGAATTTTAAAGAGTTTAATAAAGGGTACTTTTAACCCTTCTCCTGTGTAGTTCCTACACGTACAGTTGTCACTTAGAAGGTAAGCAAGTGGATCTTACAACCTTAAGATACCTTTAAAATGTCAAAATATTGCAAAAATATAACACACTTTAAAGCTCAATTTCCTTATAAATAATTGTTATAAGTATAAAAATTTGTATACTTCTTTCGATGCCCTTGATAGTGCATTTGCTACTTTTCTTTTATGTTCCAAATATCTATATTTACAAGTAAAGTAATATCGATTTTATGTTTTAATGTAATATAGATATTCCAAATATCTATATTACATTTATTTAAATATCTATATTCATTTATTATTTTGTTCCAATATCTATATTTATGTTTCTTTATGTTCCAAATATCAAAAAGTTTTAAATAAAATACATGCTTCATCATCTACATAATACTATAATATACACTTTTCTAAAATTTTTAGGGGAGAAGCGTAATAGTTACTCATTTTAAACTTATCAGTTTATTTTTATATAAATGGAAAACAGTCACTTGGGGTTTATTTATCTTGAATAAAAAATGAAATTACCTCCAAATTGTGTAATCCTTTTTAAAATTAACAAATATATACCCAGATATGCTAATAAATATTTTCTTCTTTCTCCATGCATTCGTGGTGTAACGATAGCACACTCGGCGCGCATTCGAGAGGTCCAGGCTCGAGTCCCGGCGAGGACATAGCGCACTTTTCACATCTCCAGCATCAAAATAACCTAATGACTCTACAGTTTAACTTTTCATTCATTTGTAACAGTATATTTGTCTAACATTGTATACAGAAACTTTTGCCAATTCGGCGGAAGTGCCATGTGCCATGTTCACAGGTGACTTATCCATGTGAACGTGCACTTCACCATGACAGCTTATCAGGAATTTGAAGTAGAGTGATGTCAATGTTATTAACATTTTTATACCAATTATTTGTTATTAACCAATATATTTTATCTATTGTTACATTTTGGATTACCTTGGAATATGTAAATTTCAAATATTTGTGAATTTAGGTCAATCAGTTGTTTTAACAGTTTCAAGAAATGAGGAAATATTGGTATGCATAGTAAGCCATTCAAGATTGCGATCTGTTGACTATGAGGTTATTGTTAAATGTGAAATAAATATGTGTTATTCATTATATTATCAGAAAACTATTAAACTAGGTAAAATTCCTAAAAAAGGTATTGAATGCTCTGCCAAACTATATTTACAAGAAAATTTGAATTTTATAATGTATCCCTTTTTTTAATTGAAAATTTTAAATTCCTTGTTCACCACATAGAACATAGAACACAAGAACATAGAACACGCATAGAACGCAAGGCTTACAGAGGTAAGTAAAAAAAACAAAGAAATACAACAACACAACACAAAATAAAATAAACTTATAAAATCACAGATGGCACGTCAGTGATAAATTTACAGAAGAAAGAGAAAGCTATTTTATGTTGGACAAATACGTGAAGAGGGGGCAGGAAATATAATATTCACAAAGTTTAACCTAGAAATGAGTTCTTTTGGTCCTTCCTTGAGCTTTGAACAATAGAACAACAAATGTTCAACATTTTGCACTCCCCCGAAACTGCATGAACACACGTCTGTACTAGATAATCTAAATCTCTTCAGATATGAATTGAATTTACCATGTCCAGTTAGAAATTGAGTAACTTCAAAATTGCAGAAAAAGTGTTTATTATTCAATCTGTGAGGAATGAAAGGAAAATATAGTTTAGTCAAAGAGGCAATAGTAGAATTTCTGTGTAGTTCATTCCACTTGAGTATTGTATCGTCCCTATTTTTGTTCTTGAAAGATGACTTGGGAAGTATCATTGGAGTATTTACTTGAAGATGTGTAGCTTGTTTTGCCAACCAATCAGCTCTTTCATTTCCTAGATTGCCAGTGTGGCCACGTACATGAGGAAAGATAACATCAACACCTTTATTATTAAAGTCTTTAAGAAGGGCATGAGAAGTGACAATTAATTTATTACATAAGAAGATATTCCTAAGAGAATATAAGAATGAAAGAGAATCAGTGCAAATAAGAAATTTAGCACTTAGTGAACAGTTGTTAGATATCTACTTAATTGACTCACTAATGCACAGTAATTCGGCTTGGAAAACACTGCATTCATTGGTAATTCTAAAGAATTTGTTTCAAAGTTCAGAACCATCATGGAAAACGACATAAGCTAATCCAACTCGATTATTCATTTTACTGCCATCTGTATAACACACAACAGGGAAATTATCATCAACAGAATTGTCATGAATGATAGTTTGAATTGGCAAACTATTGGCAGGATGAGGAAGATCTTCAAACAGCACCTTGGTATCGAACGTAAATTTGCTGATGGTATCTTTAAACTTTTTGTCATTTAAAACAAGAAGGTCAATCGGAGGAAATCCTGAAATTGCGAAACAGGCTTCATAGCTAATTGTTCTGTAGCCACGCACAACTCTTAGTAAAATTCTTCTTTGAATTCTGCGAAGTATACGGGAAATAATCTTCTTTTCTAAAGCTGTTCCCCACACTCTAGAAGCATAGCAAATAAAGGGGACAATACCCTGCTTATAAATCATATCAATAACATTAGATTTTAAACCAAAAGTATTGCAAAAGACACGATTAAGTCCTCTAAGTATATTTTCACACTTATTGGATAAATACATAATATAATTTTTCCAACAAAACTTATGATCAAGAATAACGCCTAAATATTTAATTTCATTCACCGTTTCGAGTACTTCGAGTACAATCCAAGTACAATTGTTGGTTTGTAAAGCTGACATGCTTTCTTTTAATTATCATGATTTTAGAATTATTAGGATTTAATTCCAATTTCTGTTCTCTGGACCAATTAGAAATAATATTAAGGGTGTTCTGAGCCGTATTAAAGAGAGTAATGGGACACTTCTCTTGAAAGCAAATTAGTGGATCATCAGCAAAAGCAATTATTTTACAACTCGGACAATGTGAGAGTCTATTGAGTAGATCATTCATAATTATTTTCCGTGGTTTTCCACACGTGTAACGTATATACGAGCCAGTTTCCCTTAGAAAGTCCTCCACGAAAGCATCCCTCCTCTTAGGCAGATAGCCCTCGGGGCTTTGCCATAATCACACACATACATTCATAATTAAATTCCACAGTAAAGGTCCAGAAACCGAGCCTTGAAGGCAACCTCTTTCCAAAATGCGGGAGGAAGAAACGTGGCCAAGGGAGAGCAATGCAGATCTGTCATGCAGAAAATCTTTAATAAGGCGGAAAATATTACACGGAATACCAGCTTTCCTTTAAAAAAAAACAGGTATCCCAGGCCACCAGGCGTGGTCGAAAGCACCTTTGATATCAAAGAACACTGTAACTGTGTGTAAATTTTTCTTCTTACCTTCGTCCACTATGTCTTTTAAGTACAAAAGAGCATCTTCACAACTCTTATCAAGGGTAAAGCCCAACTGTACTTTGTTTAGCAATTTTTTATTATGCAAGAACCAGGTAATTCTATTAATAAAAAGCTTTTCTAGGCATTTTTCTAAACTGGGAAGAAGACTAATGCATCTCAAGTTATCTAAATGCGGGATACGAGGGCCACTATTCTTAGGGAGTAAAACGACATTCGCTCTTTTCCAGCAACGAGGAAATGAAACCAAGCTTTATTTGGAAATAAATTTGGAAACATTCTATGAACTTGCTTCAAAATTTCGTTTGAAATAGAATCCAGTTGCATTGTGAGAAAGCTTCTGTTTTCTTCTAGTGACTTTGTACAATTGTGACAGAAATTCCAGATGGAGAGAAAATTCCATCGAATTCCATTATCATTTTTTCCATAACCTTCATTTATACTCATTAGGAATTATCTGGTTAGTTAGTTAGTTAGGCTTTGCAACCTGGAGCTTTAAGCTGTAACTATGTCTTAAGTGAACTCTCTAAGAGTAGGGTTACGATTTCGTTGAAACCTACGTCTAGAACGTTATTCGATTTCAGTACAAAGTACCTTATGAGCTCTGAACTGAATGCGTTATGGAGAATCGAGATAAAATTTTCTAGTCGAGAGAATAATGTATCCTTAAACGTGTTTTAAGTCAAAAGTCAAAAAAAGCTGTAAATATAAAATAATGCATGTTAAAATATTTGTAGTTATATACATAGGTCAGGTAAAGTTTTTATTAACTAGGGTAAGGCATGCAAGGGCTGTCTTTCTAAAGAGAGAGATGCCATCCTGGAGGAATTTCGAAGGGAAGCTGACTTTGAGTGAGTATTAAAAATAACGCATATAATTTTCATTCAAATTATATTTATACATATTTCTTATGTAAAAAATTCTGATATATTCTAAATTATTGTAAATTACTTTACTAGAAAAATATAGTTATTGCACATAAATTAAAGATTTGCACGTGCCGAAAATAAAAAATATTAAATATAGAAGCGCATTTATGCATTTATCCTTGTAAAAAGCATGTACTTTCCTTTACCAAAATACGTAAATATTTATTAAATTACTTATAAATGTATTTGGAAATGAAGGAGTATTCATTCATAAAATCTTGTGAATGTAACTGTGAAGACATCTAGTTATTAAATATATCTAAATTTACGATGATTATAAATATTATCTAAATGTATATAATTACCTCAACATTTAATTGCAAACATAAACTGAAATTATGTTGACGAATATATTTATAAAACTATTTGAGCAAGACTTCTTCGTACAGGAACACTGTCTATTAAAAGATGTTGTAAAAGCATAGTCTATAAGATGCTTACTTAAGAAAGTAGTATAATTTTTAGAATGTGTGTTGTTGAAATTAAGGGTAAAAAAATTATAAGTATTAAAAGAATTATTTCCTTACATTTTATAAGTAACTCAGTTACAAGATTTAAATAATATTAAAAATACCACCTATTCTTTATACCTCTTAGAAATACTCAAAGGAAGTTAAGTACAGGAAATCAGCAGCAATATTTAACGTGTTTTACTATTAAAATAAAAGGTGCTCTAATTTGGAATGAACCTAACAGAGCATTAATTATAAAGTGACTCGGATTTTTGATTTAAAAGATGCCTTAGAAGCTAAAAATCATCTCATATTTGAGAAAGTATTTCAGAAAGAAGCTCTGTAAATAGAAAAGATACACTGCATTTTTTGTTATCATTAACCGAATAAAATCGAATTACCCTAAAATTCCTTTCTAATGGAATAAACGAAAACTTATGAAAATATTTCATTCATATTAAAACTGTTCTGGGAAAAGTATAGTATTTAATTCCATGCAGAATGAAATGTTATTTAAAAATATGTTCTTGCACATACTTAGGGCTCTGAAATATAGTAGAAAAAGAAAATATATACATTTATACCTATATTTACGACATTACAAAATGTTTACCTCCGATCATGTTAAAACCTTTTACTCCCCTTAATGGCAAGTCACTGAATGTTTTGGGTCTCCAGGAGGAGTGCGCCGCTGCTTAAAGCAGTGCATGGGGAGACCAGTTAGGGCCTCTCCTTTTATTTCCTACCTCCATGGTTATTCTTTTTTTTTTTTTTTTTTTTTTTTTTTTTTTTTTGTGAAATTACGAACCGTCCTTGCAGTTCTCGAACAGACAGACTTGTTTGTTTCTTTACCCAGTTAGTTATGGCAAAACACACTAGGGCTCTCCTCAAACAGACTCATGAATCATTGGTGTAACAATTTAAAAGACGTCATCTGGTTTGGCCTCATCATCACAATGAGAAAGCAAGTCCTCATTAACATTCAAGCATAGGCACCCGTCCATCGAATGTTTCGTCAAACCACCTTATTTTTCGTACGTCCATGAGACAAGGATTGTTTATATCAGCTAAACAGGGTAAATGATGGTATTAGCATACCCTCATGGCCAATGTTTTGTGTGCAGGCTTGGGAAAAGAAATTCTAGTTAACTAACTGTTAATTAAACTCTTAGCTATCTAAAACACAATAACACGCCGAATAAATACTAATTCAGAAGTGAAACAACAAAAATCAGCGTTATATTTTCAAAATTTTCACAGGACTAGTTTCGATGGTTTTACCGAACCACCATCCTCAGCTGCAAAACCGCAAATGCGCAAATTCGGTAAAACCATCGAAACTAGTCCTGTACAAATTTTGAAAATATAACGCTGATTTTTGTTGTTTGACTTCTGAATTACTAAGATATCTCTCAGTTAGGAATTTGGTTAAATAATGGAAATATTGCTCTGATACAAGAAGAAACTATCTCGGGCTTTAAAAATGTGTTAAAATCACTTAAACGCTTTCCACGTGCTGTCAAAGAACACTGAAAGCGTTAATCCTGATGTCGTGATAGTATGAGCAATGCATATCTAACCGTTTTATGTTATACTCACGTGTTTATCTCCTTTTAAAATATGAATGCATGTTTATTCAGCTTTATGCTACAGCATTTCGTAACCGATGTGACTCTTTTTTTTCATCGCAGACAGTCTTTGTAAAGATTCAGCAATCCAGAATGTACTTCGAAACTTTATAAATATTAACTACTATGAATCTAAATATTTATTTTAATTATCAATTCTTGCAAAAGAATTTCATTTGTCTTTTCGGATTCATTATCATTTTGGAATTAAACTCCTCCTATATTTCATCTATTGACAATTAAAATATATTTTAAACTTTAAAACATAACTTCAGATTTGTTTATTCGCATCATAAGAGCACACCAAAAGTTAAGAAATGGTGATAATGTATTACAGTGTGTAATGCAACATAAATAATTTGCTTATCAGTTTTCTAATTAAGCAGGCAAATGATACTAAAGGAATATTTATTTAGGCACCCATATCATCACTTAGGAAAATTTAGGAAACAAATTCTACGATATACATATATATGTGGGATGAGGTTAGGGTCATAATAGAGGAAGGTAGTGGCATTTTAAAGATATTTAATAATGAAAGAATAAACATGATTATGGTATGTACAGAATGAAAGAAAGTAAAATAAAAAGTTCGATTCATCATGAAAAGGAATTAAATCATCAAGCAACATTGTCGAGCGGCGTAGTCCAGCCGCATCCAACGTCACGTCGTAACCTCATCTGAATGGAATTCTGTCCATTTTCTCACGCAGCTTGAAGTATCTCGCTGCTGTAGCTGTTACCAGATTTAGGAAAAGGCGGATGAGTTGTAGGAGCGAATGACCACATATATGTGTGTGTGTAAGATACAAAATATGAAAGCAAATTTCTAAATTCAATTGGCTATAACCTTTTTCCTATTCTATTTAACTTGGGGACTTCATCTACCTTAAAAATGGCGCTATAAGTCTAAACTGCGTCGTTCAAATTAATCATGCGATCCTACGTAACGCATTATGCAAATACCTCTTGCCCAGTCAAATAATTGTAAACCAAAACTTTTTAACCCGAATTGAAACTTTTGACTCTCACCTTTCATCCTCTGAATTGATGCGTCACTTTTCACTAATTACATGCTTGAACACTCTATGGCATACTTTAGCGAAGACGGAGAGAAAGAAAAACACCACTAGTCACTTGATAGCAGAGTTAATCACTTTGAATTGAAACACATTTTCCACTGGAGTTGCAGCAGCAGGTACATATCCTAGTGTAATTATTCAATGCTTTGGAAGAATCCGATACTTTAACAGATTTCGATATCCGTCATGGCTAATGTTTAAAGCATATCGATGAAGATAACAAAACTGGATTTTTATAAATCACCAATCTTTATTTTCGCACATATCAAATCATTTCTTAGTAGATAAGATACTTCTAGATCATAAACAATTACAATATCTTTATATGCACCTTATATCATCTTAGACTAAGAACAAAGGATGGCATAGCAGCATAGAGATGTTTGCATGGCGGAAGCTAGGGGAAGGTATGACGCAGTTGTGCCAAGAGTATTTATTCTAAGTCTGATGTATAAGTACAGCTAATGTATGATTGTTTAACCTTAGGTTGTTATGTAACATGAAATGATCTCAAATTTGGGAGAACAGATGAATTTAAGAGGAGAGCACCAAATCTAGAATAGTTAATTTTGAAGTTGCCAATTATTTTTAAATCAGCCATCGTATTTTATTATTGCTGCTCTAATATGGAGAGATGAGATTATTAATCCTTATGTCAAGTAATTAAAGGGTGCAGTCAGTAACAACTTCCTCTTAATGGACGATGATGCCGGTCCAGATTGCGCTGCACTAGTGACCAATTATTTTGAGGGTGAAGGAATCCAGTGAATGGAATGGTCTGCATTTCCTCCAGATTTAAATATGATACAGCATGTGTGGGACGCACCACGACGCCGACTTGCATTATCATAGTCCCTAATTTAACTACTTCTAGTAGTGTCAATGCGTTATTAATAGTAAATACATATTACCGCAAAACCTCCTGGATAATCTAATACACAACATAGAAAATCGCTGTAAAACATGCGTTGCGTCAGGGGTAATCACCCACCTAATTAATATTTTTACTCATCGATAAAATGCTGTAACACTACGTTTTCCTTATCCTACTTTATATAACATTTTTTATATTCTTATTTAAATTTACATTTCGCAGAAATGCAAAAATTTCGCATTTGAAAGACATGGCAGCCATGACAAAGATCTTGTGCAAGTTTAATGTTCTAGATGAACAATCATTCAAGTTACATGAGTTTTTATAGTTGTTTCTTTAATTTTTCATGCCAATGTATTTTAAAAGAATTGCGTGAGATTGCCCAGAATTCACTGCAATTGATTGAAAATAAGCATGTAACTGAAAGTGTTCAAAATGTGTTCGGCATTTGAAACACAGCAGAATATAATAAAAGATAATGTATTTAAAAATTATGCAGATCAGCAAAATTTAGAACAGCAAATCAAAATGTGTGCCGTGCACACTTCAGAACTTATACCAATACTTTCGTCTGCGAAGATAACTAATAAGTGATGCTCAGATATTATAAAGATTGGTTGGTTAACTGATGAAGGCAAAGGGTACGAGGGTTGTTTATTTAAGGCCAGAGAAACCTTCCTGGAGGGCTTTCTGAGGTAAAATGGTCTGCATTCACATAAACAAGAAAATATCAATGCACCCAGCCAGTTCACTAGGATTTAAACACGGGCCCACTGCCAGCGTTCAGTCTTATGTGGGCCGCTGGTGGGCTGTTGTGTACAGTAAAGAAATCAAGCAAAGACTAAAATTTGTGAAAGATGTTTACAAGGCTCTTTTAATAAAATAA